ATACTTTTAATTTTTTAAATAAAATCAAATTTTATTATTTCTGATTTTTTAAATAATTCTTGTTTAAAAAAAAAAATGCAAATAATTTTAAATTGAAACTCTTATTAAAGAATCCAAACAAACATCTAAAAATTATAAGTAAATTACCTTTGCATTAATAATCTCTTTATAATATTCTTTATTTATCTTTGATAAAAAAAAAAAAAAATAACAAGGTATTTGAAAGAGAATCTCAATATACAGCAGAAGGATATGTCTCGTGACAAATAATAGTTTATCAATCATCAATCTATTGTGTTTAATAATCATATTACTATTAAATGATGATGATCTACCCCAGTATCGCCAACATTTTTATAAGTTAAATTCGTTCTCACGTGACCTGTGACATATAAGGGGCGTGAAAAAAAAAAATTTTCACTTAAAAAAATTCTCCGTCCCTGGAATACTAAACGCTGATGGTGTGACACGGGGTGACAAATTATATAAGGTCACGTGGGGGTGAAAAAATACTGGGGTAGATATGATGATGAGTAATCAAACTTTCTCGAAACTTTTTGCCTATATATATGAATACTAAAACTTTTTTCTAATATGAAACTTAAACAATAAAGATTCTTTTGACGTGTGAGCTGGTTAAGAACGCGAAGGTAAAAGGTAAACCATTCCTTTATTTGATTATTTTTATTTTTATTTTTATTTTATAGTTGTCGGGTTGGATAAGAACGCTAAAGGTCAGAAAGAAGGTAAGCCATTTACAATATGTATTTTGCTTTGTTTCTTTTTTTTCTTTCTTTTTTTTTTTAGCAGGAGGGTTGGAAGATAAGAAGGTATGTCATTTCTTTATTTGCTTTTTTTTGTTTGTTTTATTTTTTGGTAGGCAGGCTAGGTAAGAAGGTAAGCCATTCTTTTATTTGCTTTTTGTTGTTTTTTGACGTGAGGGTTGCAAGGTATGTCATTTCTTTATTTGCTATTTATTGTTTGTTTGTTTTATTTTTTGATGGGCGGGTTAGGTAAGGAAGGTAAGCCATTCCTTTTATTTTTGTTTGTTTGTTTTTTGGCGTTGGATAAGAACGAGGTATGTCATGCTTTTTATTGTTTGTTTGGTTAAGTCATTTTTTTTTGTTTTATCGCGGGTATGTCTCTCTTTTATTTGCTTTTTTGTTGTTTTTGGATATTATGGAGCAGCATGATGTTTACGCGTGGGTGGGGGCGTGACATGCTTATCTTTGGTAAGCCCGTGGGTATCCAGTTTTCTGGCAGTCTCATGGTAGGGCTGGTTGGGTATTATCGGAACGGCATAGTACTGTGCGTGGGAAGGAGCATAGACGCTTACATTTCGTAAGCCTATGGGTACCAGCTTTCTGCTGCAGTCTCGTAGTAGGGCCGAAGTATTTTGTTTAAGAAAATCTTTTCAAATGAATACGCAAGAATATTTGTTTAACTGAATTAACGAAATTACGAGCTCCTTAAGGAATACTTTATTATTTACCAATAGTGAGGAAAAAATAAAAAATATTATATTACATTTTAAATAAAAACTTTTAAACGCGAGGTCAAACAAAAGCAAAAAATTGTATTATTTTTGATGAATTTTTTTTTTTATTTTTTTAATGATTTGCGAGACTGGAGTGCGAGACGAGGTGCATTTTGACAAGTATAAATCGTAAAATAAATCGTAAGAAAATCGAATCTTTATAAATGAGTTGATGGTTCCGTTCAAATTTACTTTTGCATTTCTAATGTGATGCTTGATGTTTCAGCTATTTTTTTTTGATAAACCAAAGTTTGATATACAGTATATTGTCCAAGTTCTTCAATTACACATTAAGGAAAGGAAATTAATCTCGATTTATAGTAATTTACAAAATAAAAAAAAAGAGAATAATATATTAACAGATCGTGATGAATAATATCATATTTCGTGTAAGCGCTTGCCAATTGGAATATTTATCCTTCTATTCAAGTTCATTAAAATATTCACCTAGATATTTTTTAACATACCCCCCTGTCGGCATATTCAGGAGTAAAGTTTATAAAAAAAGAAAGGGATTTTCAAAAAAAAAAAAAAAAAAGAAAAAATACTTTTAATTGAATTAATTGAATGCAACGTATAATCCTCTTTTATTATTTTTTAATTCTTACCAGTTTCCACCCTTGTTATTCCGTAATATGTTTGCATAAGAATTATTTTACCAATGGAACTTTAACTATACCAAGAATTATTTATTAATTGAAGGATTTAAAATCCATTTACGAATAAAATAAAAAAAAAAAAAATAAAGAATAATTAATATAATAAACAAATTTCATCCTCTTTGATGATCTCTTTAAGGGTTATTAAAATAAAAATTTTAAAATAAATACATTATCGGTATTTTTTAAGTTATCACGAACGATACTCCCAGGTCTGATAATCCTTATTGAATCCTTAGGATAATCAATGAAATGTGTTTGGAGGATTTTTTACAAAATTAAGACCGTGTGCACAATTTTACATGATGTACGCAATATTAAGGGCGCACCTGACTGTATAAAAAAAAAAAAGGTGACATTATTCGTAAAAAGATAATCTCGACGTTCGTAAATTCCGCGTAACTTCATATATGACTTCCTTTCGTACCCGTGGGATGTGTAAAATCCTATTTAATGTTAAAATATTAACATCTTTAGAAATTGATCTCAGAAACATTCACTATCATAAGAAAAGAATATTATTATTTTGTTACGTAAATAAGATGTTTTCGTTTTTTTTTTTTTCGTTATAGAATAAGTATTCCGTGAAAAGATCAAAATTTTTGATTGTAAATCATTTTAAAAGGAACAAAAGGAATTTCACAAAAATAACGGATAAACGATTAATTTAAAAGAATCGGAGAGGGCTTCTAACAAAGGTTACTCACCGATTTAATGAAGTACATTTATTTACATTTTAGTTCGAACCGGATTATCAATGGTAGCTTTTATTAGAAGTTTCCCAGTCTCAAATATAAACCAAATATAAGCAATTGTTAAACGTTTTGACACATTGCCTGCCTTCTATGAGGATGTTATTATACCTAAAAATTATGATATATATCATTGGAACCGAATTATTAGAGGTGATGATTTCGCGATCCTTTTTCTTTAAGGGTTTGGTCTTTGAGAATTCATAAGAATGGTCTAACTAAATCTGGAAATCATAATTATAATAATTATAATTAAATAGGTAATAATCTGATGATTTTCAAACTCTCCCGAAATTAAACATGAATAACGGCTAATTCAAATATGGTCCAACTATACGTTGTATTGAATTAACAAAATTAGTGAAGTAAACATTTCGTATCGATGATATAAAATTACGTTTAGACATAGCTCATCATTTTTTTCTTATAAAACCTCGCGAATTTTTATCAACAATTTAAATTTAAAAAAAAGAAAAAAAGCTAAAAATGTCTACTCCAAGAGTCAAACTTAACGATAAAGTTCCCGACAATTTATACTTTAGTGTATTGAACAAAGGAGAAGATATTCCCCATGAAGTTTCTTCCGCTGAAATTTTCAAGGGAAAGAAAGTGGTTATCTTTGGAATTCCTGGTAATATATTACTTTTTAATAATACGTGCTCGATTGACCATTTTTTTTTTTTTTTTTTTTTTAACGATTCATTTTCAATAATTAGGCGCTTTCACCTCCGTGTGCAGCTCAAAGCACTTGCCACAATTCATTGATAAATCAAAAGATTTGAAAGCTAAGGGTGTTGATACCATCGCGTGCACCGCAGTTAACGGTTAGACTACATCTTAATATCGTACGTTCAATTATTGTTTAAGAAGAAATATATTTAAAAAAAATTTTTTTTTTTTTTTAAAAAAATTCATTAGATTCTTATGTTTTGCGTGAATGGGCAGAAACTTTTAAAAATAGCTCCGAAATCCTCATGTTAGGAGATGCAGAAATGTCATTTCATGGTTATTTTGGTCTTCTCCAAAAAATCCCTTTGATTGGTTCGCGAGGACAACGTTTTTCAATGTATGTTGATGATGGTGTCATCAAAGTTTTGAATATTGAAGAACCTGGTCCTCTTAGTTATAAAATTAGTGGTCCTGAACATATGTTGAAAGATTTGAAAAATTTGGGCTTGTGAGATTTTTTTTTTTTTTTTTAAAAATATATCGGTGGGAATGATTGTTTTAGTCAAAGAAAATTGCAAAACAAAAAATGTTGGCATTACACTTTGATTATATGATTGACAAATTTTAATAAATAAAACACTAATTTAGAAAATTGGTAACCAATTATGTCAATAAAGAACTCATTTTAAAGGGTGCATGTGCATGTACAACTAAATAAACCCAATACAATAAATAAAATAAAAATTGACAAAAAAAAAGTTTTTTGAGGATTCCCTTCACACATTAAACCGTCAAATATTCTTGTCAAAATGACTTCAAATATTTCTCAACCTTTAATAACGGAACAACCTACTACTTTATTACTTTCAACGTCAAAACCAAAACCAAAACCAAAACCAACGTTTGCAACGTTACCACTGGAACTTTACGATTTCATCTTCATTCACTGTAAACTACGAGATTTACATTTTAATCTTCGATGCACAAATAAATTATTTTATAATTTAGTTTCTCCATTTATTATTTATCAATTACGTAGCGCCTTAATAACTCAACCTTTGTTACAAAAATATGATCAAGAAGTTTCTATCCAAGGCAATGTTTTAAATATTAAATTAAAATTAAAAATACCTCCTTTTGAAATTTTACCTTGGAATATTAAAATGAAATTATGTTATAGTACTGAGAAAGTTGTTACCAAGATCGTTAAGGTTGTTAGACAACATGAAATAAAACACGAGATTGGTGTGGAAAACATGGATAAGGAAAATAATCCTTCAAAAAAGAAATGGACCTGGGTCGATTGTTAAAACTTGTTAAACTATTAGGACTATTAGGGGACTTATGGTCATCACATTTTAAAAGTTCAAGAAATAAATATATTTAGTTATAATTCATATCATCAGATTGAAAAAACGATCTCAAGAAATTAGCTTCCTTTTCCATTTCTTCAAAGCTTCTAGGAGGTCTCTCTTCATTATCAACTCTAGTAGATTTATCAATTTCTCCATAAATGTCATCATTATTCGCCCAATCTCCTACTTTTCTTGGGATTATATGTAAATGACAATGTGGTACCTAATAATATATTAAAATTATTTAAGTATAGCATCAATTATAATAAATAAACAAACGAAACGCACTGTTTGTCCAGCTTCGGGTCCATCCTGTATTATCGATTGTTAAATGATTAATAATTACTTATAAATACTTATAAATTCTTATAAATACAGAATTTAATTATGATTTTTTTTTTACTTGCCTGAATTGTTAAAGTTAACGAAGTTCCTTGATATTCTCTTTCAACAACTTGACCAATTTTTTGTGCACTCAGAAATAAATCGGTCACCTAAAATAAAATAAAGGTTATAAAAAAAAATATAAATTTATAAAAAATCATTCTAGAATTCTTACTTCATCGGAATTCAAATCACGGTATCTTTGAACTACGCGAATTGGTGCTAACAAAATGTCTAAATATTTATATTATTTGAATGTAAAAGAATTTTACAAGCGCATATATACACGAAAGTTGTTAATAAAAAGGATACGACCGCTATTAATATTTTAAGGATAGATCAATAAAAAATAAAAAAAATTTATCAAATTAATGTTATTTTATTACTTACTTTGCAACTGGTTTTAAATTGACAAATCCAAAACATTTCTTGGAAAGAAAAAATACTTGACTTGATCGAATAAGATGTGGTCCAAACGTATATGTTTTCATTTCTTCAAAAAAGTCTAAAAAAAAGTTCGAATTTTTTATATGTCGAAAATCCTGTCTGATTTGGGTAACGATTGGCATGATACATTTTGATAAGTTAGGGACGCGCGCTCATAATTTACTCCAAAAAAAAAAAAAATGTCTTCACATGGCACCTTGCATAATTCACACTCATCAAAACATTCTTCCTTCTATTCCTTTCAAGATAAAAATGAATTTCTTCAACGATCCCCTTCTCTATCAAACTTCAGTAACGGAGAAAGACAAATTCATACACCTACTTACACTAGAAAGTCAACTCGGCATATTTCTCAATTGGAACCTGATACTACTGCATTATGGGGTTGGGTTCTTTTATTAACCGCTTATTTTATTTTTGTATTCAGTATGTATGCTATCGTCGTTAGTAAGTTTGTTCCTGAAACCGGAAACAAGGTAATTAAATTTATTTCTATTCTTGTTTTTTTAAAAGAATTAAAAATATATAATCTCTTTATTTAGACGCTTGATTGGATTAAGAGGGATGAATATTATTGTCTTTTAGTTCCACTCACATTACCAGTAACAATATATGCGATATTCTTTAATTGGTTGGGCATGAAATTTTTTAGACATAATTAATTAAAATAATTAATAATAATAATATTGTAAAATTAATATGAACTAGATAATATAAAAATTTATCATTTGTAAATAGTTCATTCGGTTTATTAAGGGAAAAATAATTGAGATAATTTTTATTCCCTATATTTCATTAATAAATGTACAAGAAATCAAATTTAATAAAAACAATCAAATAAATTTCCCTACCTTAAGCCCATCGACTTACCTGTACTTTAGAATTATAGAATCGCTATAAATATTCTTAATTCTCCTCTTCAATATTTCTCCACAGTATTTTCACTACCACTTCATCATTATACCAAATTTCTTCTTCATTCTTCTTTTCAACCATAGCAATTGGTGTTGCTTCGTCATTATTCTCATTTTCTCCCATAACAGAAGGGTCATTAAGTTTGAAATTTTGCATTCGACGCATCAAATACGTGGTAGCATCTTTTACTCGTTGTTTCATTTCATCATCTCGTTTATTAATGGTCCAATCCTCATGTTTCACCATTTGCCTTGCTTCCCTTGCAAGTATTTGCATCGTCAGACGTGACCTTGTGTTTGAAAATGGTATATCTTCCTTACTGTCTATATTCAAACTGCAAAGATGTTTCATTAAATGTGCAAAATATTCAACTACGGTGGCAAATTGAACGAGTGGTGATATATGCGTGAGTTGTATATATATCTGCCCGTTATCTACAAAATAATATGATATTAAAAAAAGAACATAACACCAATAAAATCTGACATCAGTTCAATTGATTAACCTTCTCTCCATCTGACTTTGACACCATTCGCTGTAAGACATTTTTGTGTAATCATATTCCACCAAATACCGGCACCACTTTCATCTGGTATTTGATCAAATGTAAGACTTTTTAAACATTCAATTGCTCGGTCAGATCCGAGTTGCCTTATAAATAGAAAAGAAATTAACTATTGAGAATATTTTCTCGAATAATAACCAAATGATTCGAAATGATTCTTTAAGGAGACCTTACTCTATTGTCACATCAATAGGATTAAGTAATTTCCTAGTTGGATTTAATTCTGTAGAAGTTATCAATGTATCTAATGTGACCAATTCGCGTATTCTAGCGTCAAATAAACTAGTTAGAACTAAACTAAAACATTTGAAAGGGAAGTAAATGGTGGTCACAAGAAACGTTCAAACCTTTCTCCATGGACTATAAAAATATCCACGACCTTTTCGTTAAATTTTCTTGTTACAACCCACATTCCATAATCTAATTTGTTAAAATAGGATAAAGAATACCCAATTTGATTGAGTCTAGAAGTTGACCTATTCCTTCGCAGGATCCTTGGCTTATCAAACTTCAATTTCAATTCTTGATCAAGAACATCGGTCAACGAAATAGCAAGACGATTATCATTTGCTGGTTTTTTCTTAAGGTGTTGCCCTGTGGCCACATTACTATTATGATTATTATTTGTACTAGGTGAAAGATTTATCGCGCCAGATTTAATTAAATCATCAATTGTGGGTTGTCCTATTGCAATAGTCCGAACGCCCGTCTCCTTTCCTTGCATTTGTTGATTGTCCGTTAACGTTGATAATGATCCAATAGGATCGTTATGCAATCGATTAGAATTAATTTCGACTTCAGATTCGGAATGTACAATTTTATCTTTATTTAACGATGATGCTTCTGTGCAATCACGATCTTCAAATTCATTTAAATCGTTTCTAGATGTCTCGGAAACAAGAACGCCTTCCATATTATCATCAATTCTTGGACGTTTGCACATGACCTCTGCAATATCATCATCAGCAAGTCGTTCATTACTGTTTCTTTTATCTATCAAACCATCCATAAGATCAGAATCAATTATATCACTCTCTAATTGTATTCCTTTATTGTTATGAGGATGCCCATACGGATTGACCAGATCTTGAATAACAGGGCCTTCTTTTTGCATTGCTGCAGATTTATCATTTGGAGGCGTTAATAAAAGATCTTCAATCCTCCTATTATATTGAAGCGGTAACTTGTTACGAGTAATCACCGCTCTATTATAGTTCTGAGACGGGGATTGATTGATACCATCTCTTGACAATAATGAATCTTCATGAGATAGCGAATCAGTGTTATTATTTCGTGATACGTCACCTGACCTGTCATTCCTTCCTTGTTCATCATAGTTAACGGGACTCATTATTTGTGGCTCAAGATTAGTTGGAGTAAATGGCACTTCAACATTCTGCGTTTGACAATTCTTTAACCAATTATCAATAGTTCCATCTTTATGATTCGAGTTGACATATTGAACTCGGTCAGATCTCTTTGTAAAGTTATGTCTTTCCCTAGATCCTTCATTATCATACATTTTTAGTTTACCTTTATCAACTTTAGCTGGATGAATTTCTTGTCTCACATAATGTCTTATATCATTACTTATATTAGATGATATCTTTCTCATACGCGAAGCATCAATTTCACGATCGTGAATTGGTGTTGTGGTTCCAGATACACGTTGGCTATGCCTATAAGATGATTCAGAACGTGAAGGCGAACACGACACTAGGTCATCTCTTTTAGATGAACGTATATTGTAAAATTCTGATGTCGAAGGTGGAGTACAACTCTCTTGAATCGTTCTATCTAATGAATCCATATTCATTTCTTCAACGTAAATATCTCCATTGCTCAAATGTGTAATAATTAGTTAGCATAAATTATAAATAAGAATTGATTTGTCAAAATTCGGGATCAATTTACCTATTTGTGTCCTCATCGAGTATTGACTCGATGGGTTGATCCCCTTCCATAGTAACGTCCGTATTCTGCACTTCTCGCTGATTATTTAGATCATAGAACATTTCCAACAAGTTACTAACGGCCTCAATTAAACGTTCTCCATGATGAAATAGCGCAACGTTCTTGTTTGGTTCAACATTTACTGTAATATACCGAACCATTCAATAAGTAATCTAAAGAATTTACAATCATGATCAACGACATACCGTCATAAACCCAAGTTGGTAGCTTGATGTTTATCCACATAAATGGTGTCTTCGAATTTCCTAAATTTAATGAATAATATTGTACTAAGGTAAATAACCAAAAAATATTCGTTTTCCAGAATTATTATAATTACCCGTCCATCCATTCTGACATGCCATTACATTATAAACGGATTTCACCATCGACACGAGATTCTTTATTTCCCCTCTGGTTGTTGTTACCGGACGATTATTTACGTAAATAAAAGTTTTGCCATTCTTGAAAATTATTTGTGAAACAGCATCAGGTTTCGGTAAAATGGCTTCAAGAGTAATAATATATTGAGCTTCCGTATTATCATTTCCAACGTTTTCAATATCTTCAGATTTCGAACTCCATACACCAAATTGAACTTCATTAGCCAATTCATTACCGAAGAGCTTTATTACAGCATCCATTGTATTTTTCATTGCAGGTTGTATCCAATTACCCTCATTAAATTTTAATTTTGAATTATTCTCATAAGTCTGTTTTAACGAAAATCTTATACGTGGATGTGCTAACGCATAGATTATTAAAAGATTTTGAACGTTTTTCCCAATCAAGGAAGAAATTTTTTTTGCGACTTGTCTTCGAACCGGAACGTTTGAGAATAATTTTATAGCTGTAACTGTGGTTCCAGGACTCGATCCTGATGATTTTGCACTTTAGAAATAAATTAAATCTTAGAACCATTAACCTGTAACGATGAAGAATTTTTATTTTTGTTACATACTGCAATATCCTTCCAGAATGATCAAGCGTGTAAAGAATTGCAACCGGATCATTTTCAGTCTTTGTAGTTATTTGTGTTGACTCAGTTACAGCACAAATTGAATTAAGAGCCTCGCCTTTATAAAATAAAACCAAAAAAAAAGGATAAAGATACCAATGTACAGAAAAATGGTATAATGCAGATATATGAATGAATTAACTTTTTGTTGTACCTCGAAAACCATAAGTTTCCACTTTGCTTAAGCCTTCAAAGTCATAAAGTTTTGAAGTATGATTTCTCAATGCCATAGCTGGTCTATCGCATTCTAGAATTCCCACACCATTATCTTTGACCTGTGCAAAGCAAAAGTTCGTTAATAACTTTAATAAAATTTCAATAAATTTCAATAAACTCGATTATTTAAATACATACGGTGATAGAAGTTAATCCATCGCCCACTAACTTGACTTCGATAGAAGTTGATTCAGCATCGATGGAATTCCTTTATTTAAAAAAAATTCTTAAAGCGTTTAACGGTTGAATTGGCGTCACATATATATATCTTAACGAAATTTGAAATTTACTCGATAAGTTCTTTAACGACGTCTTCTACTTTTGTGATAACTTGTCCACTTGAAATACGTCGTATAGTTGAATTATCTAGAGAGCGAATCATAATTTCACTTTTATTAATTTTTATTTAAAATATTTGAGTGGGAGATACGCGTTTTTTTTTTGGTTTTATTGAATATTAGTCACGTGCAGCTGAAACGTCACACAATGTACGTTGACATAAAAGGTTAACGATAATACAAAAAAAAGGTAAAACAAAGTTCTTAAATGCACAATAAATGCTTTATAATATGTCATGGATAAAATTCTAATAAAAAAAATTTTTTAATCATTTAAAAGAAACAACAAAGCGAAGGAAAAAAAAAGAAAAAAAAAAATAAAAAAAGGGATTTTGGCGAATGGCAGTCCAACCAGCTCACCCAGCAATTTTAACAACCAATCACTCAAGTGTGCTACCTCACTGCCACTCGGTGCTGCAAGTTTTCCCTGCTCTGTTTCCAGCCTCGGGCAAATTCCTTGCTATTTAAGAACCTCCTGGCCCAGAATTTACATTCAGGCCAGAATGTTCACACTAAGTTCAAGTGAGACACTACTATCAACGTGGGGCGTTAAGAATTGTGAATCTGAATGAGGATTATTCCACCACCCTGTCCTCCAGAAGCAGAGCTACAGTCAACTGCCAAATTGACCGACACTATTATACATGCTGCTAAGTTTATAAAGGGCTAAAATTTTTGATTTGAAAAAATTATGGGATCGTTACTTTTATAAATACCTCGGATTTTTTTTTGCTTGTATGACTTGTATCACAAAAAAAAGATTACAAAGAAATTTTTTATAACTTTAAACTTTTATTGGTTAATTTGTGTAATTTTGGCAAACGATTAATAAATTTTCAAAGTTTGTTTTTTAAGAAGATTCAAGCTAATTTTTAAAAATACAAAAATTAAAAAATACATTTAGTAAAAGTTATCATTCTAATAAAATAAAAAAAAAAAAAAGATAAATGCATTTAAACACTTGCAATAATCTACTGAAATAAATTCAAATAATTCAATAAAAGTTTTTGCATTTGATTACCGAATCTAATTAAACATTTTGAATAGGTGAGTCTTGCATAATGCCAGAAATAACTACGTTTGATTGTTGAATGTTATTTTGGACGTTATTTTGTTGATAAGCTTGGGATTCAACAGGATGTTGATCTTGTTGAATCATCCGAGGAAAGTTAGATAAATCTTTTCCATTATTTAATAATCGAGTGATTTCAAGTGGACTTAATTCAGTATATAAAACATGATAGATACGACCGTCGTTTGAAGGCAAATAACATTCAAAGCTGGTGAAGTGAGGGAGCGCAGTAACAGGCGCAGAATGCGCAGCAATATTTGGATACGCTCCGTTGTTATTATTATGTTGAAAATTTTGATTGTTATTGCAAGTATATGAGAAAGGAGTAGGTTGTTGGTTGTTGTCATTTGATCTCATTTTTTTTAGTTGTTAAAAGTGTTTTTATTGTCAAGTTATAAAGGTACTTTAGTTATTGCTGAACTTAAAGGTTTTTCGTGGGTGAGCGAAAGTAGAAGGCGTAAAAGTAAAATATTAAAGAAATTCAGTACTGCTTCTTTTATACATATTAGAGACAGGTCAGGAACTTATAATTTTTTTACATTAATTGAACACGCGTAATAGATTTCAAAAATTTCATTAACAAACAAACGAACGAAGATCAAAAATAATACTATAAATGTCTTGAGTAACAACAAATGGCATGACTCAGGACGGACTCGGGATTCCTTAATATCTACTCACAAGGGAAATTAATTAGAACGTTTTTGTCAAAATGCCCCAAAATTTGAGCATTTCATGCAATGTAAGGTACCACTCTTTCAATGATTGTTTATTTGACATAATACTTTCATTCATATGACTCGACCTGTAAAATTTTTTCGATTTATCCAACAAATTTCGATTTTCCTTAATTTTGACCAGAATTAAATAATAATAATCGATAAATCCGGCTAAATCAAAGGACACATGCCTTGTGCATTAAGCCAATCATTTTATGACACATTTTAGGAATACCCTCCAAAAATTTCAAATTTAAAGTGCGTGGTTTAACTTCAATATAACTAAATTTGTATCAAAATGAAAAAATCATATTGCACGCATATTTAACAAACACTACTTCTTAAAATTTCATAAACGATTGTTTATCATACTTCACCAAATAATTATATTATAAAGGAATACTTTATAAAAAAAAAGTCTCATAAAAAAAAAAAAAAAAATAGTAAAAGGTTCAATTACATTTTGTTTGTTTTTAAGAAGAAAAACGTGGAGATTTCCAGAAATATTTTAAATATATTAAAAGAACAAAACTTATCACATTTAACTGTATAACGATCAACTTTTTTTTCAACAGTATAAATAAAAAATTTTTTTTATAGAAATTTTTTATTTACAATGAACAAAAGAAACGATGAGTGAAAATTAAGTGAAAAAAAAATTTTTTTATTTATTTATTACTGCTGAGGAAAAAAAAAAAAAAACTGTGCGCTATTGATTTTTTGTATATAAGCAATTAACATATATTTTACTGTTTTTTTCTTCTTAACGAGAGCTTTAAGAATATGAAACAATAATGTTCTTATTTGCATCAGCCAACCAAGCAAAACGGGGCAAAAAGAGGTGGGTAAGATAGAAATTACTTCGCATAACGTTTAACTCGAACAATAAACACTTGTCCCGAATCAACCATCAAAAGTTTATTTTTTTTCGGTGGGATAATTTAATACTATTGTTAGGAATGGCAAAATGACATCATTTGATTTCTAATTTTGTGCTAAAATCAATATTAAAAAGTTGCCGTGTTTCTTTTCTTTGGTATTTTAGTGTCGTACGAGAAACATATTCTCCTTGTTTCTATTTGGGGACGCCTACAGCAAAAGCCGGGGTTCGGCATATCACGTGAATCGAGAAAAAATCGAGGTTAAAATTACGTAATCGATTTTGACGATTACTGCGAAAAAAAATTAAATTTTTCAAGAACGGTATTAACCTATATTGAAATTTTACTAGGTTTTAATTGAACCCATTACCCTACTTTCCAATACATTATTTTTTGTTAAATTACAAATTTATATAATATATATTCTTAATAAATTAGTGTAATATTTCGTAAAAAAATAAAAAAATAAATTCATTAAAAACTTTGGTTTTTTTTTAAGATTTCAATGTTTAAAGTATAAAAACGGTAATAAAAAATTGTAATTAGGATGTCAGGAACTATAAATGAGCAAAAAATAGTCCTGGTTTACTTGGTAATATTGTTAAAATTTAAATTTATTTACAATATTTTGTCTAATCCATTTCACGTTCACTTGGTTTAGGACAAGTAATATTACGAAAGGGTAAATCAACAAAAGGAGCGATTTCTTTATATAATTCCTCTTGTCTTTTCAAGGAAAGGGGTCTGGAACTAATGGTAGATGGTAAAATATTGGGTACATAAGAACAAGTACGAATTATGGTTTCCTTATAATTATCTTCAGGTTTATCTTTATAAAAAACAACCCCAAGATGTTATAAAGTAAAATAAAAGTGATGGTATTTTTGAATGTTAGGTAATTTTTAAAAATTTGAAAAAAATCTTTAAAATTATAATACTGAAAACCTTCTCCATTTAAATAGCGCTGTGAAGTGTTAAGATTAACTGTAGTAGAACGATTAATGATAGAAGTTACATCATCTATAGTATTTACTTAACTTTTCTGATAAAGAATCTAATTAAGCTAAAACAACTATCACAAATGAATTTTGTGTGCCCAGATTATAGATGAGGGACGAAACCCCTTAATAACAGTCGAAACTTAGACGAAACTATATTAAAATCATAATAAGGGATA